CAAGATTGTTTGATAACATTCTGCGGAAATAGACTGTAAGACCCCAGGACTATAATAGCAGTTTCTGGAAACGTTAGATCGTTTAGTTATGGGCTTAGCGATCAATCATCTATAGTACTACTGATCTACTGCAGGCTATAGCGTTCAACTTGTCTTCTACGTGGTGTCCGATTTAATGCGTAACTCTTATAAGTTTAGCTTTAGATTGTGTTAATTTTACTCAATTTGTAACGTATAATAAGGTAAAGCTATCCTTGTAACAGGCCGTGGAGACGTCGAGGCTCCCATATTTTCTAGACAATCGGCTCAAAGATGGCGGTAAGGTTGTCAACCTTATGCGCCAGCCGCCCTTTACCCCCCCCCCTCAGGAAGATTCCTGGTACTCATTTCTGTTAGAGGCTGAGTCGACCCCAGGGCCATAGTGCGGCTGAAAGGATTAGATCAATTGAAAAAAATCTACCTCATCGGGACTCGAACCCGCGACCATATTTAATTCTATTATCAAATATAACACAAAAGCAAGTTTGTCTAGCGTTAAATTCTAGCCTTGTACAAGGAAGATTCTCGTTTCGAATCCTGGCCAGGGTGCCGGTTATTCTCTCTGAAGTTTTCTCGTGGTTTTCCTTGGACCTTCTAGGAAAATTACAGCATCATTCCGCGATTACGCCACCATCACTTTCTGTCACATCATTTTCATTTCATTATTCATGAATCATCCTGTTATTCAGCGCTATGTACTCGTATTTGAGGTCAGGAATGGTGAAACTATGGCCCGCGGATTGAATTCGGCCCTTTTGAGATTTTAATCCTGTCGGAGCCATTTTGAAAGTTTGCCTCTAATATTATGTTTAATTTATGTATATCAACATTTACTTATAATATAACAGCTATTCAACACCATCTGTCGCACTAATGTAGGGAGTAATAGCACACTCGTTATGCACATTATACGACTCCGCTAATTACAATTACTAAAAGGAAATAGAGTCACATTTCCGCTCAAAGCCAGTATTGTGGAGTCAGAGAGACGGTCGTTGCTAGGGAATAGCTCTCTGAACATGTTTCCACGGCAAACAGCTCACGTGACCGCAATAACAGACACAACACAACAAAAGAGGAATTGCTTGGGGGCTGTGTTCTCTGTTGGGTTCGTGCAGAGGCTATATCAGAAGAACCTTGCGAGTGACCCAGCGAGTCGTAGGAGGCGACGAAAAGGGAAGTCTCAAATCTGAGACAGTAAAATATCGCCAGTCCCTAGGGACTCGGACCCGAGAAAGACTGCGCTTGCAAGGGCCAGCAGCATATACAAAAGACAGATCCAGACCCGTTCTCTCGTGAAAGAGGGCGCTTCACAAAAACAAGACCGTAACTGTCAAAACATTAGTAAATAGTGGGGCTCGACACCAAGACTTACTTACTGATCCTCAGTCGCAATGTGACTTTGACTTTTTCGTAGGAGGCGGAGATAATTCAGTTCGATCCAGGTTAGAGCAAGAGAACTGTTCAGTGCTGAGTGCTGAGTTGAGACCATCATATTTGCGAACAACGTATTCGGCTTCTGCTCGAACTCGGGGGAACAAAGTGAAAAATGAGTACCGTATCCAAGATGGGGGACGTCCCGGTGCTGGGATACCAAATTTTTTGAAGAATATATGTTGTACAGTAAAATCGGAACACCAGACATTGGTGCAACAATATTCCGACGCGGACGCCAACTAAAACAGCTCCTTAAGGTGCTGGGCGACATTGAGGACGTGGCGGGGCACACACCAGCCCCGGTAAGGGAAAATGTGGAATGGGTTGTCATTGTAAATGCCGCGGAAGAAAACGGAGCGAGCTACTGCTAAGGTCTTCATGTAAAGACACTTTTTAGTGCTCTGAATTGCACTTATAGAGTGACTTCAGATGAATTAAAGGCCGTGCCCAAGGCGAGCACTCTAGCAGACCAAAACAAGACAGATAAGCATGATCTGCTTTGCACAGCCTGTACTGACAGAGGACTTGTATATGGAGCAAAAGAAAGAATTGTCATATAACCTGCTATATGTGCGATAACGTACATTTGTCAAAGGCTATGCCTGTTCATAATAGTCAAACCCATGTTCTCGTCAGAGAGGATGTTACATAAAGACTATTACCGCGAGAGTTCAGTTGGAAAAAATCACTGGACGTGAGCCTCAATGGGTTTAATGCCAAGACGAACTGACTGACGGTAAACCTCCAGTCGTAAAGTAATTCTGACTCTGACTCTGACTCTGAAGTCGTGGTGTGAGCGCTGGAAGAGAGAATTCAGGCAATATATTTCTGCAGAAACCGTAAAGCCCATGACGTCATACTACAACTAAACGGACGAGATATTCCCCTCTCTAAATCATATAATGTCACGTGTCTTGGTGTCACTTTCGAGAGGAGCATGTCATGGAGACACCATACTGAAAGGACTGTAGCCAAGGCTTTGCGCACGTACGTAGAGACCTATTTTCAATTTAAAACTGGTCGTTTAAATACAAATTTACAAAACTCTGATTAGGTCAGATATGACTTAAGCCTGTCCCACCTGGAAGTATTGCAGGGGTAGATGACCTCTTGAAATGGCAGCGCCTGTAGAGCGGAGTATTCCCCGCTGTTGGAAATCTTGACGGGTGCACACCAGTCCGCGACTTGCACATGGCTTTCAAAATTCTTTACGGGTATGACTGGGTAACTAAATTATGCAGGACACCGAAGTAATCCCAAACTGTATACGATTATATGCAAACATGCATGGTACTGGGCAAGGAGAAGCCATGCAAAGGAAGTATAAGTGGTTTAAACTTGGCGGCGGTCAGGCTTACGACCGTTCAGCTGATTAACTGCAGTTCCGGGTGGTTAAGTAAAGGTGAAAGGTAAAATTGTCCCTGTGCTTAACTAATTAACCACTACGCCATGAAGACGTATGGGTGTGTGGATGTATAGATCCACATTATCTTGACCTCGGCACTAGTTGGAGGTAAGTGGTCAGCTTCACTCCCCGGCCGCTTTACCCCGAGGAAAGAGCCCCCGGTACCCATTGGATAGAAGGTTGGGTGGACCCCAGAGTCGGTCTGGACGATTGGAGAAGTGAAAGTTCTTGACCCTACCGGGACTCGAACTCCGACCCCTCGATCGTCCAGCCCGTAGGCAGTTGCTATACCGACTGATACTTATTACGCTATCCTGGCTCCAGTTTCGGAGTGGCTACATAATTTAAAGCATAACCGGCTGCATAAGCCCTCACTGACAGAAAAGCTCTGTATATCTTGTATAAATGTTATTTAGTGCAGTGACAAAGGGCGCACAGAGCACATAGTGACCTGGACGCAGTGACGGCGCGGGTATACTCGTTCTGAGACTGCGGTGCAACAAACGAAACTCCTAAATAGAAAGACCGACCCCTCCCTCGTGGATGGAGAGGCCCCATTTCTAAACATATACCTGTCTAGGAAAGAACAAAAATCTTGGTCATGGATGTCGAGGAGACAGAAGCCATGAATGACTATGCTGGCGAGGACCAGCAACAATCTAACAGATTGATCGACCGACGGACAATCTAGTATGAAATTTCGTATGTATTTCAGTGTACATTTTACTATTTAACTGAATTTTAGTCTACTCTGTACACTGTCACTTCATTCACATTGAAGGATTTGAGGTTCTTAGCGGTGGTTAAGAAGAGTTCTCTCGTCTGGGATATAAAGCCGTATAGTCCATTGAAAGTCAACCGACGTTTCGGATGAAAATTTTGTCTCCATCTTTTTGGTCGAAGAATAAGCCAAGCAAGAAGTCGGAATGAAACAGGCAGAAAACAGAGCCAAGCTTGGTTTATTCTTCGACCACCAAGATGGAGGCGACATGTTCCTCTGAAACGTCGGCTGACTTCCAACTCACTACACTGCATTATATCCGAGAAGATATAATTCTGAATTCACTTCGTTTCATTGGCTTAATTGGAAGATGATCTTGTTTACTTTTTAAATCAGGGAGACCTAAGAGTAGATTAGAGGATAATATTAAACTGGATCATAAAGAAAGAACGTCCGGTGATATGGACTGAATTCATTTGGATGTCACTGGCGGTTTCTTGTGAACGTGGTAATGAATCTTCGACGTTTATAAAAGGTGGCTGGTTTATTGAATAGCTTAGATACAATTAGGCCCCGAACACGACTCTGTTCCGTGGAGTTATTTATTTTTACATTTATTTATTTATTTGTGTATTTATTTATTACTTCATTAACTTATTTAATTATGTACCAAGTTATTAACTTTAACCCGCTGCTATCCTCTTGCTGATGTCTAGAATGTATTTATTTTCACGCCCCCATGCGCCTTCATGGCATAGTGACTGTACCCAGCGACTGTTTGTCTTTTACCCTCACTTGAGGCCGCGCCATAGCTCAAGCGGTTAGTCGCTGGCTTCCCACCCGGGTCTGGTTAAGTGGGATTTGTGGTGGACAAAGTGGCACTGGGGCAGGTTTTCTCTGAGTACTTCGGTTTCCCCTGCCAATCTTCATTCCACCAATTGCTCCACAATCACCCTCACCTATCATCTGGGGCTGGTACAATAGGCCAGAAGTGGCCGCAGTATAAGGGACTTAGTCCCACCCCACTAGTAATAAAAAAAAATACCTTCACTTGCCCCTCTATATAGGTTGAAGTAAGCAATTTCATAATTCCCTGATTCTTTAAACTTCCTGTTCTTGTGAAAGTTTTGGAAGGGGAGGTTTAGAACTAGTTGACAACTACATGTATTGTACATTTTATTACAATGGGATGTATTTTTCATTCTCTTTAAACACATACAATGACCTTGAGAAATTTTCTCAGCGTATCATTGGATAAACCGCAAAGTATTGTGGTAGTGGGAGAAGGTTATCTAGCAGCATTGTTAGTTGCGTGAGATCCCCATTTTACTATTGCAGCATCTTGTTTCAGACACGACAGAAAGAGGAGTGGGGGAGGGGGAAGTACGGTGTGTCACGTCAGTCTGCAAGCGGCCGTAGCAGTGAGGCAGTGAGTGTGGGTCTCTCAAACGTAGTGGGTTTCCCTCTCTTGCAGCCAAAGATAATAACGGAGTTAACGTGAATATCGTATATTCACAAGATATATAAGTGTATTTAAACACCTGATACCTTGGTTTAGAAGTGATTTGTTAAAGTGTATGCAAGTAAACACAAGAAGATGTTAAGCGAAATCTTCAAACGTTTTAATCAAGTGGTAATTTTAAGCCTCGTTGCAATTTCAGCGTTCGGTAAGTCGATAGTGTTGTATTTCTTTACATATCCTTGGTGTTTCTTATGCGTGTTTGTTGAAATGAATTACTGTAAATGTACATTTCAAAATTTTTACATTTCTGATACGACTAATAACTTCATAAACCTTTATAGATATTTTTCAAGGAAATCTGGTGAATAACTTGTTGACTTGCCTTGAACAGTCAGTGACTTTCGAAGAGAACAAGAGAAGTGATACTTGGAATTTTATACCGATTCATTTGGTTTGTGTAGCCGCTAATCAAAATCGATATCTCGAAAAAATTTAGAAGCCTACGTTAGAAAAATGTGACTATTTTCTTGAACGACTTAAGCGTGGGATAATTCGTTATTATAGTAATTTAATTCTATCCCAAATGTGTCCAGTTCGAAACATGACCGGAAAACAAATTGTCCTGACTAATAATTGTCATTGTTTTCTTCAGTCCCTCTATGCACATGCCGTGATAGCAACTTACGTTAGGTCACGACTGTTTGCTCCCATTTTCTCACAGGTTTATTTACTGCCAACCAGTAATTTGACATTACAGCGTTTGAGCTACTGACATACTGTATACAATAAATACAGTACAATGAAGTACAATATAATAAAATCGTAATGATGCTACATAGGATTATGAGTGCGCATGGACTGTTCACATAGTGACGTGCCTGTAGCTGCATTTGACAGTAGCCTGTCATCAGCCCCATTTTTCATGAAGAAATGCCTATTTAGAAGAGCTTCTTGGAACCTGCATTTATTTTTTTCAGCAAATATAGAAAATAAGGTAAAGTTCCCCTGGGCTTCACTAATTAAACACTACATCATGAAGGCGTATGGGGATTGGATGTTTAAATCTACATTTTCTTGACCTCGGCACTAGTCGGAGGTGGGTGGTCAGCTTCACGCCACGGTCGCTATACCCCAGGGAAAAGAGCCCCCGGTACCAATTGGATAGGAGGCTGGGTGGGCCCCAGACGTGGTCTGGACGACGTCGAGAAGAGAAAATTCTTGACCCTACCGGGACTCGAACTCCGATCCCTCGGTCGTCCCGCCCGTAGCCAGTCGCTATACCGACTGCGCTATCGCCGGCTCCCCTAGCAAATAAATAAGTACAATTTATTGAAAGGGATGGACGTGGACAGCAGCCGTACTCCAATTCAAGTCCATAAACCGGAAGAAGAGAGGAGAACCACAACTCTCCGGCTAGCCGGAAGTGTAGCTAAGTTTTGCTTTGTTATTTCCGCAATAAAAAAGAGCATAGTAGTGTGATCGGAATTTTTTCTAGGTGGAAGAACGTAAATTGTAGTCGGTCCAAGTAACGGAATATCTTTCAAATTAATATCATTCGAACCCGTAGCCTTGTATGGGTATGAAACTTGGTCTCTGACACTGAGGGAAGAACTGTAGATATTTGTTTACAGGATGCTGAAGACATATTTGGACCGAAGAAGGATGAAATAACAAGTGACTGGAGAAAGTGCATAATAAGGAGCTTCAGTACGTGTACTGTTCATCAAATTTAATTAGTATTAACAAGTCAAGGGGGACAGGATGGCTGGGGAAAATAGCACGAATGGGGATAGTGAGAAAGCAAGAAAGAAAGAGACCACAAGGAAAACGTAGGCGTATAATGGGTGACAATATTAAAATTGATCTTAGAGAAATAGGATGGGTGGTATGGACTGGATACATCTGGCTCAGGATAGAGACCAGTGTAAGGATCTTGTGAACAAGGTAATAAACCTTTGTGTTCCGTACAGTTTCCGCGAATTCTTGAGTCGCTGAGAAACTCAAGAAGGGTTCAGCTCCATGGAGTTAGTTTGTATCATTGAAGCGACAGTCACGGATAAGGAATTATTATTCCTGCATGATATTTCAGGTTATCGCCTCGGCGGATATTATTGTAATATCAAAATTTTCTGTTATGTGACGCCATGTAGTTTTGTAGATATTTCTCCGACTACCAAGCTACCGATCTTCGTATCCCACAATATCAATTCTCATCAGCCAGGCCGTCTGTCCTAAACTGTCTTGATTTTCCCCAGCCTCTCTTGGCAAATAATGGGATTATATGCGAGATTTGATATCCTTACGTTGGTGAATATCTATATTATTGCCTTTTGAGACGTACTGTAGTTTGATACATAGTTGCGAAGTTTCTCTGGAATCATTATCTTCATTGGCAAAACAGCCCTTCTTTAGTTGAGGTCTTCCTTAGAAGTTTCTGCCAGATTTGTCCATAGACATACGCCTTTCACGTCTTTGAATACCTTTTTTAAGAGTATGGTCATCAGCCTTGCGTCGAACCCCCACCCTGGAGAACCATGTCTACGTATGTATATCCCCCAGTGACAGGGTGACTCACACCTCAAGACACCGGTGTTCCTCTCGGTCGCCTTTAACGACACTCAAGACTACAGTTGAAGTATTCTAACCCACCTTCATATTGGGAGTTTCTCTGGGACAAACAAATCAAACAAACTCTGTGGCCTGTAGTCCGTAAAAGAACTATACCGACCGAGCGACCGCCGCTTGTAGGCGAAGTTCGTGCCAACTTTAGTGGATAGAGTGTGTCACGTGGTCAGCGCAACGGATCCCCACGGCCGTTAATCTCGGTAGTCTAGGCCGGAGCCATTATTTCCTTGAAATAACTCCTCAATTATCCTCACAAAGCTGAGTGAACCCCGTTCCAGACCCACTATTTCTCAGAAAATCTCGTATCGCCGGGAATCGAATGCAGGACCTCTGGATCTGTAGCCATGAACTCTAGAGACGGGACGCTGCTACAAAGTACGTGATAACCGCTTTCTTCCACGGCTTTCCCAACTACTCGTTCAAAATCAATAGATATATGCAGTTGGGATAACGTTGTTAAATGAACAAACTAATGTCTTTTTATGATAATGAGACTAGAGGAATAGAAGGGTCGTCATATTTCTGTTTATTGCTAAGTAGCATGGACACAAATGTCAGAAGTCGAAGTGTTATTGACCTTGGTCCCAGCTTTCACGTGGAACACTCTTCGGTGTGCTTTTCCTAAGAAGTGTGTGCCATTGCATGCTTTGGCACTCGGCGCCGCACGCGTCTAGAGTCCCCGACGCCCTATATAGCCTAATCGATATTGCTGGCAGTTCGCATAAATCGAAACTTTGAAATGTATTATAGGCCTCTTGGCATGGAAGCCGACAGGAATTTCTCAAAGGAGAATTTGTATAAATGTATGTTCAAGAAGAATGCCGTCTTCTGGCATGTGGCGCTGTGTAGATCTAGTGTAAACCGACGTTTCGGAGGAACGTATCGCCTCCATCTTCATCCCAGAAGACGGCATTCATCATAGTCACCACCTTGAAAACATCAAATCTTACATACGTTCAAGAAGTTAAGGTCGCCCCTCATATTCAGAATGGAAGAATACAATTCAATTAAAAATAATATTAATTTTTGTTTTTAATATTTGCTATAGCCCACTTCCCTCTTTTTTTTCAGTTTTGATTTTTGTTTCCTGTGGAGCTTTGGGCGTGTGTGTGTTGTGTTCTTCTGGCTCAGGATAGGAACTAGTGGCGGGGTTTTGTGAACACTGTAATCGACCTTCGGGTACCATAAAATGGTCTGGATTTCTTGAGTGGCTGAGCAACTGTTGGTTTCTCAAGAAGGACTCATCTCCATACAGTTAAAGTTCATGAGCAGTTGCCCCCCCCCTTGCCGGTGCCCATGCCCCTTTTAGGTAAATGAATAAGACCATAATTATCTCTTCAGCAAAAAAAAAAAATCCCTATAACAGTCCGTGAAGGCCCATAGAGTTGTGAGACGTCGAGGCTCCCACATTTTCTCCAGAGTGTCGGCTCACAGATGGCGGTAAGGTTGTTAGCCTTACGCGCCAGCTGCTCTTTACCTCCCCAGGAAGATTCCTGGTAATCATTTCTGTTAGAGGCTGAGTCGACCCCAGGGGCATAATGCGGCTGGAAGGATTAGGTCAATTGAAAAATATTCACCTCATCGGGACTCGAACCAACGAGCTTCCTGCTTGTAGCATAATGCTTCAACCAACTACGCTACCGCGTGCCCCTTTCAATCAAAACGAGCTTCAATATGGCGGAGGCCGAACGTCCCTCTAGAGTCAGGAAAGCCCTTATGGTTAACGAAGCAGGGTACGTCACACATTGTGTAGGCAGCCTTGCCGAAGAAGAATGTAGTGTATTTAGGAATTTCAAACCGGAATATGTTGAGAAAAGAATCGTAATACATTTCTAACGATGACGTAATGATGTGCGTCATTACCTGACGATGAAGCGCACTCTCGTTCCTACTGTATGGAGTATAGTGCCACGATTTCGTAATCGTGGGCTGGCCTGAAACAGACTCAGGTTCTTCGCGGTTTTCATCTGTCTCCCCAGGAAGTTCCGGGATGGTGGGTCTACTTCAAGTTAGACCAAAACCGCTTCCTTCCACATCCTTTATAATTCATTATTCCATAGTCCTATTAGGTTAATTCAGTCGGCGCAATCACGGTCTGAATGAAAACTCTGTGTTCGATTCCCGACAGTAGGAAGAGATATTTTCTTCTCTGAAGCGTCCAGACCGGCTCTGGGGCCCAGCCAGTCTCCTGTCCAATGGATACCGGGGACAATTTTCTCGGGGGTAAAGTGGCCGGGGCGCGAAGATTACCACTCACGTAAGATTTGAGGCTTTCACGGCGGTGACTATGTGGTGTTAACCGACGTTCCTCCGAAACGTCGGTTAACACCACATATACACGGTGCCAAATCCCAGAAGACTGCTTTCTTCATTACCACTCACCTTCATCCAGTTTTGAGGTTATGAATACGGGGAAGTAAGTCTCCTATATACCATTCGTTTTCATGATTTGATGCTTAATTTATGACACGGATAACTTTACATTTAATATAATCATCTTATCGCTGTTTATCATCTGCAAATGTTGATAACGTCACTCAAAAGTAATAGAATGAAATTACTTTTACATACATGTATTTT